TATAGGGTGCGTGTACTCACCAGACAGACAGAGAGAGACAGCGAGACAGAAAGCGAGAAATCATCCCCCAGAGGGGATGGCCACACCGCAATCCCTTCTCCTCCGTTCTCCTCTCAGGAACCTTGGGCACACATGCACACACGCCAGGCGTGAGTTTTAAGCCACCGGGTCTGGGATGCGAACCGTGGTCAACTACATGGGAGTCCAGCAACATAGCCATTATGCTAGCTGCTGGTCCCCCCAGTCATTTCTTTTAAATGGCATACATCACTGCTCCTCTCTGAGGCTAGTTACTCCCTCCTCTTTGCTGTCAGTTGCTCACTCTGTGCCACCTCATCTTTTTCGTTAGTTGGATTTTACTTACTCACAGAGGAAGGGTATGGCATGCACACTCTCTATGGCCCCTAGACTCAGCGGGTGAAAGGCACCAGAGGCCCAAGTTGGGAATATTTTTGGAAAAAGATTTGGGAGCCTTCTAGAGCTAGGTAACCCAGATTCACCTTGAAACCAGAAAGGAGTTACAGGTTGGGTTAGGACTTGGGGAGAAGCCACCACGCCCTTGTTCTAGCCCGATATCCTCCTCTGTGATGCCCATGAGCCACCTAATCCCTCAAATGCTTCCTGGTCCCAGCCCCAAACACTCAGAGCAGGTCTCATGGGTCTCAGCTGCTGGTCCATGGGTAAATCACCAAGCTCGCCTCATCAAATCTGCTCCAGAAGACATTTACTTCTATTTTATGCCCCTCTTCTGTTTTCTACAAGAACTCTAATAATGGGACCAGCACATGGTATAATGGTTACATCGCTGGATTCCTATGTAGTTGACTGTGGTTCAAGTCCTGGACCCAGCATCTTAAAACGCACTCCGGGCATGTGTGTGTGTGCATGACCAAGGTCCCAAGAGGAGAATGGAGAAGAGATTGCGGTATGGCCATCCTTCCTAGGGAGTGATTTTTTTGCTTTCTGTCTCTCTGTCTCTCCAGTGAGCACATGTACCCCAGTTGCTTCTCCATTGAGCACATGGACCCCAGAGCAAAAACTTTCTTTAAAAAAAAAAAAAACACAAACTCTAATAATATCCACATTATTGCCTGAAGAATTAGCTTGCTAATGATCATAACTCCACCCATCCTAATGGTTTTTTTTCCCTCCTCTTTATAAAAACATTTTAAAAAGAGGCTGGTGAGTAGTGTGGTGGTTAAGGCACTGGACTCCCACAAGGGCCGACTGCAGTCTAGGTCCCAGATCTGGTCACTTGCTTTCTTATTTTCACATTCTCTCTCTCTGTAGCTCTCTCTTGCCAGAGAGAGCTCACCCTATGGGTGATGGTCACACTACAATCCCTTCTCTTTCATCTCTCCTTTTGGGATTTTGGGCATGCGTGCATATGCACCTGGTTTGTCGTTACAGCCACTGCATCCGGGACTCAACTGAACAGTTGGCCATGTGGGATCCAGCTGCCCTAACCACCATGCCACTGGCTGGCCCATTTTTCCTCTTAAAAAAATTTTTTTTTTCTGTTTATGACAGAGTGCATGTGAATGCATGTGAGAGAAAGAGAGAGGGAGGAGTGCCCTCCCCAGAATCTGGTCACGCCAAGATCCCCTTCCTGCAGCCCTCTAGCCCACCAGGATCCTGGGCACTTATGAATAGGCCTGGAGGCTGGCTGGGCTGGGTAGTCGAACTACAGTTGCCACATAGGCTCCAGATTCTCTTGAGCAGTGCATCGCCACTGCGCCACAGAGCCAGCCTTACGCGGTGTCTTAGAGCAACTGCCTCCAACTCGAAATCTGGCCTGATCCTTCCAGCAGCCCTCGGTCCACTAAGTCCTACGACTAGGAGAATTCACTCCTCTCGCTCACTAGCTGCTGCCTAGCTAAAAGTCGCTGGATAGGATAGGATGCCTAACTGCTAGTTTTTGTTTGGGAGACAGACAGGGATATACCGGAGAAGGACAGTAATGACTCAAAAGAGGTGAAGGCTCCGATCTCTTGGGGTGGAAGGTGCCGAAGTGTATGTGTGTGTGTGTGTTAGAGGTGTCAAATACAAACTGAACCTGGGAAACCATTATCTAGTAGTTCCCTGAACCGAGGGTGAGGCCACACATGGGATTCCCTCCTTTTCCCTCCAGGAACAGGGTGTGGGAGGCCAGATGTCCTGATCCTGCAGCTAGGGCTTTCCCGCCCGGCAGGGTGCTGTCCTCTACCCCGCCCCCGTCCCATCCCTGCATCACCAAATCCCACATCTGCCACGGGGAATACACACCCCTCCTCCACTTCCCCTGCAAAGAACTTGCACCACCCTGAGAGTGCTTTCTCCAAATGTCTCTCTCCCCGCCTGGCGGCCCAAGCATCCCACCCCCTCAGCCTGACTTTACCATAAATGCTGCGCCCCCGATCTTCCCTATTAGGTCTGCCAAGGCACAGAGCTATTTTTACCTCATTCTCTTCTCAGGCCTGCAGACCTCGGGGAGGCCTCTGCTTCCCTCCAGCAGCTGAGTCCACACCCTCTCGCCCCCACCTGGAACATCTGCTCTGCAGCTCAGGGAAGTTCTGCTCCCCCACCCCTCACAGCCCCACCCCAGTAGCTGGGATCTTTTCTTCATCTTTGAACACCTCCCAGCTCCCCAAGCGGGGCCCATTTTAGTGGAATTACTCCTCCCATGGATTGGGAGCTCAGCTTCAGCCATTCCTCCTACCCCGACTCTCTGTCCCCCCATGGGGTACAGTCAGAGCACCCTACAATTAGAACACACACACACACACACACACAATGTACAGGCAAATCCATGCCAAACACTGGAGAGGGGGAAAGAGGATTGACATTGGCCTCTGCGAAGAAGTTTTTCTCCCTCCATACCTGTTTTCCTCTTAAAAATCTCCATCTTTGGTGCAGAGAGGTTTACCTTGAGGATAAGAACTTTCCCAGTTTCTACTGTGGGACATTTAGGTTAGAAGGGCCACCCATCCAGGCTCTTCATGGCCACCCTCTACCGCACCCAGCTCTGGAGAAGAGACAGAGTTGACTTGCTGTTCCAGACCCCTGTCTTGTTTCCCTTCCCTCGGTGTCCTCAAGTGCTCGGCAGGTCTCAAAAAAATCTCATAAGCCTCCCTCTCCTCACCCTTTTCTCCAAGCAGTCAGATTAAACAGCTCTGGGCAAACATTTTCTTTCAAACGGTGCTGTAAATTGAGGAAGGAATGCTTTCTTTCTTTTTTTTTTTTTGAGAGGTTTTTTGCTATAGGGCGCATGTGCTCGCCAGACAGACAGAGAGAGACAGAGAGACAGAAAGCAAGAAATCACCCCCCAGGGGGGATGGCCACGCCACAATCCCTTCTCCTCCATTCTCCTCTCGGGCACACGCACCCGGGGTGAGTTTAAGCCACCAGGTCCAGGACTCGAACTATGTGGGAGTCCAGCGACATAGCTAGCCATTACGCTAATTGCTGGTCCCAAGGATGGAGTGCTTTTTAAAGGTCAAGTAAATACATTTTGAGAGAAGCCCAGGAGTGCTTTTTCAAGGTCAAGTAAATACATTTTGAGAGAAGCCCCTGCACAGTGGTAAGAGTGGGGAGGGGCACGAGTGCCATGTCATAGTCCCATCTCATCTTCCTCAGATAGATTCCAGCCCGCCCTCCACCCTGTCTACTCCCCAAAGACTGCATTTCTCTGAACTTCTCCTAGAGAGACCAAGCCAAGGACCTCACTCACTCCAGATGGTCACTCCCCAAACCAGCTTGACTAGGCCCCAAGCAGTCAGTGAAACCAGAGCTTCCAGGGTCTCTTCCCTGGGGATGGGAAATGTAGCCTTCCTTTTCCTTTCATTCCCTTCAGGAGGGCAAGGAAGGGGGAAAGGGAGCATAAGCAACCCCTCTACCACCCTCTCCGTCCCCACGATCCATTCCAGCTCTGGGGCAGGAGCATCATTTGGCCTTTGGGAGCCAGGAGAGGAAGAGGATGGACACATTCTTGACCGGCCAAAGACCACCAAGCCCCTCAGCTCACTCACCCCTAGTGAGAGTGGGCAGGGAGAGTGGCAAGGGGCAGCAGCATTGAGATTCCCCGGGTAATTTGGAGTTATGATACAAAAACTACATTTTTATCCTGGCGGGAGGACTGGGAGTTGCAAAGGAAGCAACAGCGGCAGAGCCTGGGGCGTGCCACCACCTCCCGCCTGCTGCTCGCTGCTCGGCCCCCGCCCCCGCAGGTATGCGGGGTGATTCACCGCGCCCAGACTGCGGAGGCTGCACACCCTCTCCACCAGCCCCTCCTGCACGCCCCTCCACCCACCCTCCTCTGCCCCACCCGCACCCAGGAGAACTAGGGTGCAGGAGTGTGGAGGACTAGAGTGTCAAGGGCCTGCAAGTACCTGGAAGCCAGGGGCGGATCGCAGCTAGGGGACCGGGAGGACCTGCGGAGGCTGATGCGGGGGCGTGGGGTCAGCGGAGGGGGGCTGACGGTTGCGTCCCTAGCCTGGCGCGGCCCCCGCGTGTGCGTGCCTGAGCCCTGAATCACCCGCTATATTGGGCGGGCAGCACCGGAGGCCCCAGGCCCAGGCCCCGCCGCCAGTGTCCGCTTACAGCCGGCCCCAGCGGCCGCCGGGAACCCCTGGCAGTCCGGTAAACTTCCTTCAAGTAGGAAGACGTTTGACAGAGCCAAGGTGGGAGCAGTCTGCAAGCGGCTGCGTCCCGGAGTCCACTCGCGCCTAATTCGGTTAAGCCACGGTTAAGCTATGCGTTAGAGAGCAGAGAGAGGGGTCTGGATAGGCAGGCGCGGAATGCGGAGCGCGCCCCTTTGCGCACCCCAGGAGTCAGCTGCTCCCCGCACCCTCTCCGCACTCTAGCTGGGCTCGCCGGAAGTAGGGAGGACCTCCCAAGCTCCCGGCCAGAGCCAAACTGACTAGAGAGCCGCGCAGCAGACGGGTTTCCCCCACTGCAAGCCCTCGGCCGGGGACGCGGGGCCGGGCGCGGAGTTCTGGGCGCGGTCTGCCCGGCGGGCTTACCTGGTAGATCATGACTTTAAAGTTCCGGCGCCGCAGTAGCTCGGCCTCGTTGACCTCCAGCTTCTTGATCTGGCCGGCCTGGCGCTCCAGGCTGCCGCGCACGGTCTTCACGTTGACGCTGACCTTGCGCACCTTCTCCAGCAGCTTGCTCACGGTGTTGCTCGTGGTGGCGTGCGCCTTGCTCAGCTTGCTCAGCTCACCCTGGATGCTCTGCACCGCGCCTTCCATCTCTGCCTGCCGCTCCTCCAGCTGGGCTTGGGTCAGCTGGATCTGGTCGACGGCGCCGATGATTTTGTCCAGAAGGCTCAGCACCAGAACGCCGTTCACCTGGTCCGACTTGATCAGCTCCTCCGAGCCGGCCCCCGACGGCTCCTCAGCCGCTGGGGCCCCCACCCGGGAGGTCTCCGCGGCCGC